CTTGAAAATCAATAAATATACCGAGTAATGCTTTTTCGAGAGTAGCAGTATTAGATCTTATGTCCAAAGGAAAGCATCCTAAATTTTTCTGAATTATCAACCTCCATACATATATAATGCAATGTGACATCTATATAATTTTGTTCAGAGTTATCTGTCCATTTGTCTGCTGTTACACAATACCAAGACATTCTCTCCACTTCATCGATAAATTCTTTTTTTAATTTATATTATCTAGCCTCTAATTGACGCATCAATGTTCTTTTTGACGGTGGTTTATACAGCGGCTTGGCAATTTTCATGAATGTGCGGAAATCTTCTTTTTCCGCTATAGATACTGGCAAAGTATCTTTACTGATCCTAAAAGTCAAAGCATTGTTCAATTTGTCACATTCTAATCCACCATCTACAAATAAAATATATATATATAGTAAATGCTAATTGAGTAATAATTATTTTATGTTGCACGCACCTTGATATGACTTCACTTTCTCAAAGGCATCTGCGGTTGCAACATTTTTCTTTAAAAAATTCTAAAGCAAAATATATATTATTGTATTTATTATAAATTTATTATTGTAATAATTGAAATATAACTAAATATAACTGTAATCAATGTAATATATAAATTAATTTATATTTACAGTAATTTTTCTTTTCTTTGCACTTCCACACTCAGAGTATGCAGAAGCATCTTGGTTCTGTTTTTTTTAGCTGTTGAGATTTTTGAGTCTGTATTGCTGAGCAGCAATTTATGATTAATTTTTTGATGATTCCAAGCGTTGGTCGTATTACCAGATGTCTTGACTTTATTGTTGCAATAATGGCATTCAACATAGTCCTTGTCATTAGTCTTAGAGAAATGTTTCCAAATTCCACTTATACTATCGCTCCTATAAATAGAAAATATATTGATATTGTAAGAAAACGATAAAAGCGACAGCAAAGTATTAATCAACTTACTTCGATTGTTCAAAATGCTGAGTATTTGAGCCAGAGCTAGCAGAGTTACAATTTTTGTGAACAGGTACACTTTCTTGTGTATTGATTGAGGTCACTGCTGCTCGACTCAAATCCCTCCTAAAATCAGACCTTGGAAGAAACCCATCATCATTATCAAATTCTGGATCACCAAAATTGACTCTTGCACTTTAAAAATCATTAAAATAAATGTTTATTTATTTATTTTGCAATTAAATATAAAAAAAAAAGTAAATTGTGTAAAATACGTACTCGTACTAGTCAATATTATCCAGTGATTTATACAACATTGTCATTGTTTGGTTTTGAAAATAATTATCTTTAACATATTTCACTAGAAAACCATCATCATCTATGAATACAAATAAAAATTAAGTTAAAAATATATTTCAATACTGTGACGTCGGAGTTACTCTCAGGTACGCTTGGAGTAAGCGTAGACTCAGGGTTGCTCTAATTTGGCTTGTGCGTAACACTTTAGCCGGGACGAGCAATATTGTTGCTCCAGAAACTCCTAATTATGGAGTTAATAATAACCAAACGTTATTATGAGCACACTAGACTTCTAGCTTAATGTGCTCTTAAGGGAGCTTGAATGGAGATCCACCAAACTCACGCTTAATGGATCTCCGAAAAGGGATAACTATTACGGAAGGATAAGATAGCCAAATAAATTTTGTAACTTACTCTTTTTTATTTGTTTCGAGGTAAGATTTCTCTAATTAATGTCACTCTTGCTCTCTCTCTCTATTTTGCTCTCGCTCTCTCTTTTTCTCTCTCTCTGGTGAGCGCCGCACGCACTTTACATCGGCTCCAGCTTTTTACAGTTTTACTAATATAATTTTGTTGCACCTCTGCGAGCAACTTGTTCCAGGTGATGTGTAGTCCAAGGGGCAGCTAGGCTTGAGATAGTTAGTGCATAATTTGCCCTGGAATTACACATTACCTCAATCTACAGTTGTCACATAACCTGTTCCATCTCAATCCGAACGTACGTGAGACTTCAGCAGCTACTGGTATCATCTGGCATCATTTCGTACTACATAGATTTCTCCTGCACATCGGTTTCCTGCAACATCGGCTACTAAAGAACACATTGTCATCGCCTACGCACCGCTTTAGTGAGAGAGAAACATCAAAATTTTAATTTAATAATTATCGCCTCGTTATCCGGCTGTGCCCTTAATCAATTTCTCCTGTATCCGTCATCGTTGCCTCTTCGATTGAGTGATTTGTTTTGTTGTTTCTGTTAGTCATCAGCCAATTTATTATTAAGCGACCTATTTTAAGTACTCATAATTCCGAGCGCCATTTATGTTAAGTTCCTCCGCTAATTAATATTCCCGCTAATTTTTCCAAATTTCCCGCGAAATTCGAAATATCTTGTATTTCATGTAACTGCGGGTAGGAGTCACGAATCTCGTTTACTCTTGTTCGCGCCAAATTTTCTATGTATCACATTCGTACTATCTTAACCATTTCGACTACGTTAATTCGCTCTTTCCTCTCCAGTTTATTTAGTTGTTGAGTTTAACGTAGTTCGACTCCCTCTTAATCCTCTAAACCTTAAACCTGTAATCCCTTACCATTTCTTAATGTCAATTAGAGACTGTGCTAAGTGTTACCTTCCATTACGACTCGACAGATCTCTTTTGTGCGGATCCTGCAATTCGCTTTACCACCTTAACTGTATATCCCCAAATTCTAGGCCGATATCCAAAACTACTGAATTTATATGTTGTGCTGATTCGTCACCTTCCAACCAATTACCGATCGCCAATACAGCCGCGCTATTCGCCACGCCTACCGGACACTCTCCATCTATACTCGTCCGGGCCAAGAAACGCCTAGCCTCGCCTACTCAGCCGTTATTGTCGTCTGTAACCAAACACCACTGTACTGCGCCTCTTCATTCGTCACCTGAATCCTCTGTTCCTGCAACCAACGTTTTCGCTGCGAATCAGTACCACCTTCAATCGTCGTCGCACTCAATCTCACATCAAGCGTAGATCGCTCTACTACCATGGCGGATGCACGAATTCGAAACCAGTGATTACCTATATAACGAACCTAACAATATTTCGGACCTAGACAACAGAGTGAGTACTTTTGAGCTCTATCCTCGATAAGGTGAAATCTCTTCCTTATTGTTATTTTATTATCTCTCTCTCTTCGCTCTAATACTACTAAGCATAATCAAGGTTCCCCTTTCGGCGAATTCACGTGATTGCGTACCGGGACCAAGTGTTTAAGCGCCACTGACCGCGCAAATTAAAATACTTATTTAATAAAACGCGAACCACATAGTACCGCAATATTATTACTAGAAGTGTTATCAGACGTATTAAAGTATAAATATATATATATATATATATAAACCTATCTAACGCACCGGTGTAAGTTCATTTAAGAAAACCGGCGAAGCCCCTTCCCTTTTTGCTTCCCGATTACCGCCGCTATCCCCTCGCAAGGTCGAACTTCGGATATTATCGGCGAAGACGCGATCCATTCGGTGACACGGTCGGGGTACCGTACTGAAGGTCTAGTCCGCCCGAGTCAGGACCACTCGGAGCTAAAAACGGTCTAGCACGTGCCCGTTTTGAAGAGACATCAAAACTGTCACGTAATACACACTTACTTTCGCTGCGCAATACGCGCGATCGCCTTTTATCATCTCGCAATTTCACGTAAGATCACCGGCGACTTTGTCTAAATGCGCGAAACTAATAATGCGAAGCTGGTCACTTTACCTTAAGCTCTTAACTACGCCGACGCTCAGATTAGCCTCGCTCGTATTCCGGTCTCGCTGGGGAAGTTGTCGTTGTCGATTCGGGCGTCCGCCGATCCTTTGCGCGCGTCCTCTCAGTATGCCCTCTTCTAATTCTCTCAGCTATAGTCGCTCACAAAACAGCTGCACATTTTTAAGACGGGGCGAAACGTTCGCACTCCGCAAGGGCCACAACCGTCCCCCGCGAGTAGCTATCCTAGACTCTACTCTTTTCGCTATCTCTATCCCCCTTTACCGCGCAGAGCGCGTCCTCAACTCATGTCCGGCAGGTGCTGCCCTTCGCGGGCAGTCATCCTAACGAGGTGAGAGCGCAGATATGACGTTCATCGTTACAATAAGTATATTTGTTTTATACATATATAAGTCATAGCTTAAAAATATTTAAAACTTGTATTTTTACAACCTAACTTGTAATCAATTTGCTTTAATTTTCAAATTTCGTTTCATTTAAGATACCAATCGGACTAATAAGTGAGAATATAACTAATGTTGAGGCACAATGGATTAGTTTTAGTCTCTCATGCCGAGGGTCTGAAATGGATTCCCGGCCGGTATCGTTGTTACTTCAAAACAAAAAAATAATTATTATGTGCCTCTACGATATTAGTGGGTCGAATTTTATTTTAAATACTAATAATCTAGTCGCAATATAACACTTGTAAGCGAATTTTCGCAAGAATTCGTTGATAAGAATTTTCAAAAGTATTTACTCACTTCACTCAATTCAGTAGGCTCGACTGACTTGGGTCAATAACAGAGATTTGTAATTTCTACTATTTGAAGGTTAGTTCCCTATCGCTTACTTCGAATAAAATTGGGATTCCAGTAAGTAAAATTTGTATAAAAGCTTCATGTTAGCGCAGAAAATGGAGGCAAAGGGATCCCTAGCGAAATTAACTCTATCGTATGGACCTTCCAAATATATATTTCAAAAAGTATCATTATATAAATTCTATTTTTCATCGCAATCTCTTAGTTGGAAATAGTTTTAAATTTCTAGATATGAACAAACTGACCCGTCCATAAGACTGTTTTAAATGAGATATATTGAAATTTAAATTAATAATTAAAATTTAGAATGATCCAACCTAAAGTCTTACACACTTGATCAGGAGAACACTTCAGACTTGATTATCATATTGTTATATTATATGCCGATATTATTATATATGTATCATATTGTGTGACAATAGACAACAAGTTGAAAACATCGAGATAGGTTATTTTACAATCGTATACTTTATTAATATAGGATTTTCGGCATACATTTAAGTCTGTCAAATGAACTATTTGTTTTCTTTATTAAGTAAATATAATTTATGATTTTTCTACACAAAAATTATAATATATGTAACACAATGGACGAATTTCTGGCGTCAATTTCATCGGTTTTAGCTTCTTGCTCAGACTTTGGCTGCAGAGATGGAGGTATGACTAGAGTCTGTTAAATAAATATATTTTAATTAGTTTAAATTTAATTTAATTCGTAAAAAAGTTTAATAAATCATAAAACTGTTGTTAATTAAAATGTACTCTGTATAGTGTGAGTTTTTCATACAGACACATCTAATATATATGTATATATATATATAAACACACACGCACACACATACGAATACACATGCACACGTACACACATAAACATACATATAAAGGTAGTGCGTATTTCTCAACTAGCTTGTAACGGATAATTTAATTATTTTTATTTGCAAATAATGGAGTTTATAATAGTGATTAACCAATCATTTTGTTCAAGTTCAAAGAAGTCTAAAGAGACACAAATATATGGTGCAAAATTTCAATGAATTTTTTCATGTAAAATACGAAAGAGCTAATAATTTTACTATAATACCTACCTAAAAATCGTTTAAAAAAAAGAACGAATTTTGTCAATAGCTTTTCGCTTATAACGCTTTTTATATATAGGTCTTATGATAGAACCAATAACATTATTAAAAAAATACATCTAAATAGTGCATTTTGATATTAGTGCAAGAAAGTAATTGAAGCCTTGTGTGGGCATTTGCCCTTAAGTGAAGCGATGATGAATAAACTACACGAGGATGAAGAAGCCTCACGACGGTGAAATCACTTCCTGGCACATGTATATAACTGTAGTTTCTGATACGACGTGTGCGAAGAGAAATTTGAAGCATACTTTGCTTCTAAAGCGTGCAAGTCCTCGCGCATGGAACGTTGAAAATTAATTTGGAAAATATTACTAAAAAATTCATTAAAGGGAGCGCAGAAGATTAAAAAAGTAAAAATAAAGTCTTCTTTATTGTCTTCTAAAATTGTTTCAATAAAGATCTTATCATAACGTTTCAAATTATTTGAAAGTGTTTGGCTTCCAGTTTTTTTTTTTTCATAAGCCTTAAAATATTAATTAGGAGTTTGGGGAATTCTTCTTAAGGGGTTTAAAATAAAAAAAATGACTTCTTTAACTATATTTTTAATAATAAATAATGTATTGAAGTAATATATATTATGACTATCAAATAAATTAAGTTTTGAACGATTTGTTGATTGAAAAAATTGTTATAAAAAAATATTCAAAATTCGCCTTCTGACGACTATTTTACAAAATCCTTTGAAAATTCGGTACTACATAACTTGGACTAGAGTCATCTGAAAAAAAACCAAATTTTTTCGTTTGTACATGAGTTTAGCATGTACTCGAACAAAGAATTTATAAAAAAATTGAAATTTAAATTTTTGATGACGTATCGTGTCAAAAATTTATTTTTCGACGCAAAAACCCAATAAATAATGTCATGTATAACAATTTGCAATGAACGAAAAAGAAAATCCTTCATTCAACTATAAGTCAACACTATTTAAAAGAAGTATGTAAAATTTGGATAAGATTGATGCATTAGTTTTTGAGTTATCGTGTACACCGATTTGAAAAGTATCACTTTAAGAAAAACACGTTTAAAGTTTAAAGTAAGAACACAAACGATTTTTTCAAACTTACATAGAATCATCGATACCAGACCCATAAAGCGATTGTACTTCTGCAACAGCTTTATCTAAAGCCTCTTTTTACTTACGCCTAAGTTGAATTGAATTTCACTTCAGAAGTTGCGTGAAACGAAAAATATGATTCACACGAGAGGGGGGGAGGCAGATCAAAAGAAATTTCTCTCCCTTCTAACATATAATTCGGATCGACTTCAAACTTTCAGAGAGTACTTTCAGAGAATACTTTAAGGTAAAACAATAAAAACAATCGATTTTTTCATCATAATAAATTTCTTAACCGTAGTACTTAAATTAATAAAAAAAATAGATTTACCACGCTGTCCTGAACGTTAGAATAAACAAAAATTATCGTAACAGAACTGATTTCTTGGTTTAAATCGATACTATTGCCTGAGCGGAGCACTTTTTCGAAAAATTATTAAATTGTTTTTGAGACAATTGAAAATATACCAAGTATTTTACGATAAAAAAGATTCATGAAGATGTCTTTATTAAAAGAGTTTTTAGAGAGCAATAAAGTACGGCTTCTATTTTAATTTGTATCTTCTCTAATCTTCCGACAAACCCCAGTTTTTCTAAAATTCGAAACGGTTGAATTGGGTTTCTAACAGTTCTTATTTATAAATAAATTGTATTTGTTTCAATATTTAGTAAGAAGAAATAGATCTAAGGATTGAGAACAGAGTGACAAGCAAGATAAGAAATAAAATTTATAATGTATGTATACGCATTGTCCTATTTTAACTTAGAATGATTTTTTTAAGTAGTTAGAGTTAACGAATAATGCTGCAAACAAAAGTTGCTCGGTTTCAAAGGGGACGTATTTTGGTGACCTTACCTTTGACTTTAAAAATGATATTCAAGATTATTTTAAATTCAACGTTCTTTTTCCAAATAGATATTCCTATTTTTCATATTTTCATATTCAACCGCCGAATTTTTATATTTCGATTCTACCTCAGAATCGGAAAGAGCGAAAAATTCTACGTTCAGATAAGGCAATATCTGTGGAGTCTAGATGACACCCTAAGGTCATATTAGAGATCTATTTTAGGTATTACAATAAACCTTAGAATTTACCGCTCATTCTAAATCATCATCAAGGTCAAAGGCATAGTCATTAAAACAAGTCTCTCTTAAACACGAGTAATTTTTATTTGAAACATTAATAGTTGAATCTTATTTTCATTGGGCCAATGGAATGAAAAAAATTGGCCTTCGTATAATTTTAGGACGTTACCCGGACCCATATGTTACCTCGCCTGAATGTAGACTTTCCCGCTCTTTCTAATTCCGAGAATAAAAATAAAAGTTCTTATTTGAAAAAACAAAGTTGACCTCGAAATAACCTTCAAGAACATCTTCAAGGTTAAAGACAAAGTCACCAAAATAAATCTCTTTTGAAGCCAAGCAACATTTATTTGCAACATTATTCGCTACCTACTTTTAAGAAATCTTTCGAAGTAAGTTAAAATGGGACATCCTATATATATATTCAATATCACACAATACAAATTGCATTGCATACGTACTACACACACATATACACACCAAACACAAATTTTAATAATATGTATAAATTTTGACAAAAATATTATAAATATATTTAAATTTGTAATGCCGTAATAGTTAAATTAATTTTTTAACATATGTTTATACACACACTCGCACGCTCATTATATATGTACACACTCAATTAAATCATTCAATTTAATCTTCAACAAACATAAAATTTCATGAATATCTGAAATGTTTGAAATGATATCACATAATTTCAAAGTTATTATTATTGAAATGTATGACTATGCATGGGGATTAATATTTATAATATACTATATTATTCTTACTAAGCTGTTCAACTAATATAGAGCTAAAGTTAACAAAATTAAATAATAATATCAATGATAATATATTTATTTTTTCGAAAATTTTCTCCACGTATTAATACAATAATCTTTATTGAAAACTTAGAAATTCATAGTTTTACTACGATAGTGCCGTTAAGTGCGTCACGCACCCATTTCTCAGTTGCACTACTATTCAGTTTCTCACGTCCTCGAATTCTATCACAACTATTTATAAGCGAAATTACAAATTCTAAAATATACAACATATATCAGACATTCTATGCTTCTTGATAACATGCATCGATATTAATTGCTAAATAAAAATCTAATTTAAATTATATTTGTAGATTCAGTTGTAATTTCAAATTTAATAACGTATCAAATTTTTAGGTATTTATACCTATAGGTAATGGAAAGGGTCCTAAGTTTCTTTTTTTTTTTGTTTTCCAAATAAATCGAACCGTCAACTCTGTCTGTCAATTTTATTTTCTTTATTTTTTAACATATGTTTACGATTCAAAACTTCTTGTGCGGTATCCCTATATCAATAAATGTATTTTGTTGACAAAAATACTATAAGTCAGCTTCAACTCATTTGGTGCTTTTTACAAATTAAATTTCCAAATTATTATTTTCAGTAATCAACGTTATTTTAAACTTTCATCTATTCATCCGCGTCACATTTTTCACTTAATGTTTATATTTATAAATTCAATTCCAAAACAATTTTTCAAAAAATTACTGCATCATATTAGCCGAAATCAGTATATCACGTAAAACATCCATTTATGATTTTCTTTATTATTAATTATGTTTATTTGAAATTGAACTTGATAACGTAAATATTCTACAAAATTTATATGTCCTGAAAATACATGTTATTTAAGCGCATCAAGATTATTTTACTATATTATTTTACGGTTAGACCGTTGAATGAATATGGATTTTATCTTAAGCTGATGCTTGCGAATTCTCCCTTATTTGTTATTCACTCAATCAATTAACAATAAACCAATGTAGAATAATAATCTACATAACCATAGTTCAGCTAATCTGATCACGAATAAACTGGCTTCACTTTCAGACCTCTCTTTTTTTTTAATTTTATAATTTTTTAATTTTAATTTTAATTTTTACTAATAATCATTATTAATAATCATACTAATAATCACGCGCTCTACACTTGTCAATTTATAGCAAGTATATAAATAATTTCTGTTTCTCTCGCCATATCATTACGTCATATTAGCAAGGCAATCACATACTATAACTTCGATCTTCAACACCAATCATAATAATCAATATACGTTTCACTTCTCATAATTTTCTTTTTTAATAAGGATTTTATGTAATCTACCGTATAATTTGGACGCTTCTATAAGTATTGCTTTTATTTATATTTTTTGTTTTTATTTTTACCTTTAATTGTTCGACTGTAATTGTAATTACAGTAGTTCTTTCTATTCAATTTTTTTTGCATGCAATGCTTATACTGTACATTGGTTAAATACTACCTTGATTCATTTATTTGTGAAGAAATACTCCCCAACGAAAAATATCTATTCAATAGGTGCTAAATGCTCTAAGGTATGTTAGAGATTTGTTAAAT